AACCCTGAGATCAAGATTCGCATGCTCAGGGTGCCTGGGTTGCTCAGTTGGTTAAGCGTCCGACTTCGACTCAAGTCATGATCTCACAGTCCATGGGTTTGAGCCCCACGTCAGGCTCTGTGCTGATAGCTCAGAGCCCGGAGCCTGCTTAGGATTCTGTGTCTCCCTCTCTCTCTGCCCCTTCCCCGCTCACTCTCTGTCTCTCAAAATAAAGACATAAAAAAAAATTAAAAAAATAAAAAGATTCACATGCTATACTGACAGAGCCAGCCAGAACCCTATGTAAGTATTATTTTAATAGATTGCATCAGGATCCAAATAAGGACCACTACACATTACATAGGTTGATAGGTCTTTTAAATTTTTTAATCTCTGAGTCCCTTCTCCATACCTCTTTCTCTCTTATTTTATTTTTGCTTTGCAATTTATATTTTGAGGAGATTAAGTCCTTTATCCTCTAGTAGTTTCCACAGTTTGGATTTTGCTGGCTCGCTACTTGTGGTGTTATTTAATATTTCCTGTTGTCTTCATTTCCATTAATTTGGTGGTAGATCCAGGTGCTTGATCAGATTCAGGTTTGTTGTGTTTTTGCAAGGTTAGCTTCATGGGTGCTTCTTTTCTTTCTTTTTTAAAAAATGTTTATTTAGTTTTGAGAGGGAGAGATCAAGCAGGGGAGGGGCAGAGAGAGGGGACCAGAGGATCTGAAGTGGGCTGTGCGCTACCAGCAGTGAGCCTCATGTGGGACTCGAACTCAAAGAGCACAAGATCTTGACCTGAGCCACAGCCAGATGCTCAACCCACTGAACTCCATGGGTGCTTCTTTTCTTAGGCACACAATGTCTGGTTATCATTTTTGTGATATTATTAAATATGGAAATCAATGTCAAGATTTTTCTCCCTTTTGTAAAGCAAGCTATATATAATTTTTTGTGATAGTAAAAAAAAAAAAAAGTTTTCTTTGTGGTAATTCTAAAATCTTGGTGGCTCAGTCCTACAGAAATGCAGGCTAACTCACTGGATTTGTCTCGGTGGGCTGTGTCCAGGGTGGAGGACCTAGGTCTTTGAATGGCAGAGTTCCTCAGGACACAGTCCACCAGTCAGTTACCAGCTCTGACCCACTCTCTCTCTCTCTAGAGTTCGTGAACATTTTACAGACCAACAGAGAATTATACCTCTGGAAGGGCTTCAAGCATGTTGATATTAGTACAAATAAATATATAAATTATTAGAGAAGGAGCTAATTTAAAGAGAGTCATTTTTAAAATGGTGACATTTGGGGCGCCTGGGTGGCTCAGTCGATTGAGCATCTGACTTCTGCTCAGGTCATGATTGCAACAGTTTGTGGGTTCAAGCCCTACATTGGGCTCTGTGCTGTCTGTGATGAGACCGTTTCGAATCCTCTGTCTCCTTCTCCCCCTGTGCTCTCTCGCATGCGCTCTTCCTCTCTCAAAAATGGGTAAGCATTCCAAAAAATATTTTAATGGTAAAATTTTACCTTCAAAATTTTCTGTTTGAGGAAAACTATGCGGAGTGGGCATAGTTAGTTCAGTCTCCAAAGGTTCCAACATGTGAGCTCAGGTCAGGGCCTCAGGTGCAATGTGGTATAGAGTTCAGAAGCATGGACTCTAGAAATGGACTGCTTGGTGTTGAAACCCGACTCCTACCTAACAACTGTTTAACCTTGGGAAAGTTACCTCATTTCTTTGTGTACCAATTTATACATTTATAAAAGGAGGGTCTTTTATAATAGTACCTCCGTCACAAGGTAGTTGTGAAAGTAAGTTAATCCATGTAAAGTGTTGGACCTATGGCGGACACATGAGAAGAGCCCCCAGTAGGAGCACTTACTGGTACTCAGGTAGTTACTGTATTTTGTAGAGCTGTGCTCCATAGTCCCTGGCCTGTGCCCCTGTCTTTGTGAGGCGTGGCTACTGACAGGATCAGGCCAGGAGAGCCCTTGATTCTCCCTTGTCTCCTTCAGTGACATGCCTAGCTGGGCCTCTCTGTCCATCCCAGGTATATTGAGCACCTGCTCTATGTCCAGGGCTATGCCAGGGGCTGTGGGAACTAGAAACAAAATTATGACATGGTCCTAGAATTAAAGAAACCTATAATCTCATACAGAGACCCTTGCCCTTGGGAGGGGCAAGGAGCAAGCCAGAGACATCTCATCTGTCTGTTAATAAAAAAAAAACTGGTCTCTTGAGGTGCTTCATACTTGTTTACTTTGCTAATTGGTTTTGAAAAACAAGTAAATGGGTTATGAAGTCATTGTAGAGGGTGGTGACTAGCTCTGTGTAAGGATGAACTAGAATCCAGTAGAAAGTATTAGAGTGTAGCTTGTGTAACGAAAGTAATTGTTTGGTGAAACTTTTTTTTCTATTATAGCTCATACCTACTGGAACTGGGTTACCATTTAGAATGTTTCTTATGTTTTAGTCAAGTATTTGAAGAATACTGTAATATTTAGCAATATTCTCTTATTTTCATTTAAAGATAATTCATATTCTTTTTTAAAAAGTGTAAAAGAAATAAGACCAAGAGATCAGTCTATCTTAAGTGTTTAATTTCCTGTGGCTGCTATAACAATCGCCACAAGCTGGTGACCTTGTTTATTAATTTATTTTGAGAAAGACAGAGCATGAGCAGGAGAGGGGCAGAGAGAGGAGAGGGAGAAGCTTCCTTGGCTGGTTCTGGCAGTGCTCCAGCCTCTGCCTCCATTTTCATATTGTTTTCTCTTTTCGGTACTTTCTTCTCTTTCTCTCAAATCTCCCTTTCCCTTTATTTTTATTATATATTTTTTTAATTTATTTTTTTGAGAAAGAGAGTGAGCAGGCAAGGAGCAGAGAGAGGGAGAGATAGAATCCCAAGCAGGCTCCATACTGTCATCACGGAGCCCGATGAGGGAGTTGAACCCACGAACTGTGAGATCATGACCTGAGCTGAAACCAAGAGTCAGATCCCTAACCAACTAAGCCACCGGAGGCGCATCACCCCCCCCCCCCCGCCTTTGCCTTTATTTTATAAAGACACTTGTCATTGGATTTAGGGCCCCCCTGGTTAATCCAGAATGATTCTCTCATCTTGATACTTAATTACATCTACAAAGGTCCTTTTTCTTTTTTTAAGTTTGTTACTTATTTTGACAGATAGAGATTGAATAAGCTGGGGAGGGGCAGAGAGAGGGAGAATCCCAAGCAAGCTCCCTGTCAGCATACAGCCCAGTGTAGGGCTCGAACTCACAAACTCTGAGACCTTGATCTGAGCTGAAACCAAGAATCCACTGCTCAACCTGCTGAGCCACCCAGACTCCCCAAGATCCTTTTCCTTTTTTTTTTTTAATTTTTAAAAAAATTTTTTATTTTTGAGAGAGAGAGAGAGCGCGCGCACGCATAAGCAGGAGAGGAGCAGAGAAAGAGGAAGACACAATCCAAAGCAGGTTCCAGGCTCTGAGCCATCAGCACAGAGCCCAACACAGAGCCCAGCCCAGGGCTCGAACACATAAACCATGAGATCATGACCTGAGCTGAAGTCAGACACGTAACCACCCGAGCCACCCAGGCTCCCCAGATCATTTTTCTAAAGAAGATAATGATCACAGATTCTAGGGATTAGGACATGGACACCTCATTTTGGGGGCTACCTTTCAATACACTACACTAAACGAAAAGTGAGGTATTGGTCTCCATACCCCTTTTTCCTCTACCTGAGCTAACTTATCAGACTAACTTCCAGAGAAGTGAACAATCTTGCTGAACATGGTGCAAAGCTAGGGGAGGAAAAGGTAATGACATAGCATAAAAATTATCAAATAAACTTGTGACTAATGTAACTTCCTCCCTGGCACATTATGATGGAATTTGCTATATTTTCTCTACGCGATGAAGACCTGTTTCTCAGAATTTGTGTCATCCAGTTGTCCCTCGTTTTCTTCTTCAGCTCCATGAGCACTTGGTTAGGCAGGATGTAGACCGGATATGCCATCTGTTTGTAGTTTCTTAAGTTTAATGCCAATATGGGACTGATAGCATAAGTTGTTAAAGCTTGTCATGGTACTTGCTTGAAAGTCAGAGCACAAATTTGTCTGAATACAAATAGTGCACTGACCTGTTCAGTGACCTTGAGGCCAGAAGACTTGCCTGCCAGCTGGCCTCCATTGGAAGGTCTCCAGGAGGCCCACTTAGAAGTGGGGGGAGTCCCTGCCCAAGGCTTGAGCTGTCCTTATGGGTGGAGAGGGAATGTACCTTGTGTTCCTGGGAATCTCCCTATGTTGGACTTTGGCAAGGACCAGGCTGGATTTCATCTCACAGCCAGAGGGAGATGGATGGCCATTATAACAACAGTTAAGGAGCGCCTGGTGGCTCAGTCAGGTGAGCCTCTGACTTTTGATCTCGGCTCAGGTCATGATCTCGTGATTTGTGAGATCAAGCCCCAGGTTGGGCTTGACATCTTGGAACCTGCTTGGGATTCTCTCCCTTTCTCTCTGCCTTCCCCACCTCATACTCTTTGTCTCTCAAAATGAATAAACACTAAACACACACATTTTAGGGGCTACCTTTCAGTTAGGAGTTAATGACTGTGGGTAGTTTGTAAAAATAAATTACTGTCAATTTTTTTGAGATTCAATAGAAATCAATGTTCTATTTGACATATACCCCACAACCCTCCAAAAAAATACCCATTGTAAAAAACAAAGAAACCAACAAACCCCAATAATTCCACCACCCAAAGCAAGCCCTTGTAAGCATTTTGTGTATTCCTTCTGTCCTTATCTAACGTACTTTTATTTAGGGATACTTGGTTGGCACTGTGGGTAGAACATGCCATTCTTCATCTTGGGGGTGTGAGTTCGAGCCCCACATTTGGTATAGAGCTTACTTAAAAACAAACAAACAAAAAGACAGCTTCAAAGTACTTTTACTTAAATAAACGAGCATTACTGCTGAAAGACTGATCTCTGTAATGACCCTTGTCTTGTCTGCCTTGCCTCTCTTCTGCAGGAGCCAATAGAACCTCTAAAGGAAGAAGTCTTATTGGTAAGATTGATAGCTCATCTCACATCACTGGGAAAGGAGTTACAGTGGAACCAGGCTTTTCTGTGGATGAGTTTTCTACCTCCGTCCTCACTGGAAAACTGACTACTGTCTTTCTCCCAATTGTCTACACAATTGTATTTGTGATTGGTTTGCCCAGTAATGGCATGGCGCTGTGGGTCTTTCTTTTCCGAACGAAGAAAAAGCACCCTGCTGTGGTTTACATGGCCAGCCTAGCCTTGGCAGACCTCCTGTCTGTGATCTGGTTCCCTTTGAAGATTGCGTATCACATACATGGCAACAACTGGATTTATGGGGAAGCTCTCTGCAAGGTACTCATTGGCTTTTTCTATGGCAACATGTACTGCTCCATTCTCTTCATGACCTGCCTCAGTGTGCAGAGGTATTGGGTCATCGTGAACCCCATGGTGCACCCCAGGAAGAAGGCAAGTATTGCCTTTGGGATATCCCTGGGGATATGGCTGCTGATTTTGCTGGTTACCATACCCTTGTATGTCGTGAAGCAGACTGTCTACATTCCAGCCCTTAACATCACAACCTGCCATGATGTTTTGCCTGAGGAGGTGTTGGTAGGGGACATGTTCAATTATTTCCTCTCTCTGGCCATCGGAGTCTTTCTGTTCCCAGCCTTCCTCACCGCCTCTGCCTATGTGCTAATGATCAGAACACTCCGATCTTCTACTATGGATGAAAACTCGGGAAAGAAGAGGAAGAGAGCCATCAGACTCATCATCACTGTCCTGGCCATGTACCTGGTCTGCTTCACTCCTAGTAACCTTCTGCTTGTGGTGCATTATTTCCTGATTAAAACCTGGAGCAAGAGCCACGTCTACGCCCTGTACATTGTAGCCCTCTGCCTCTCCACCCTCAACAGCTGCATTGACCCCTTTGTCTATTACTTTGTTTCACAAGACTTCAGGGATCATGCGAAGAATGCACTCCTTTGTCGAAGTGTTCGTACTGTAAAGCGGATGCATGTATCCCTCACATCCAAGAAATTCTCCAGGAAATCCAGCTCTTACTCTTCAAGTTCAACCAGTGTTAAAGCCTCCTATTGACTTTTGCAGCCTCTCTATTGGTTGTTTTACAGGAGGATTTGGAACCTGCTTGATGTTGTGGGTATGTTTCTGTCGGTTCCTATCTAAGCAGGTCTCACCACATACTACCATGTATATGCAGCACCTCTCGGGATTACTGGGAGCTTCCCTGTTTGCGTGAGGAAAGTCCCTCAAGTTAATGTAGATGTCAGTTTTAGAATTCTTTCTGATGCTCCCGGAAATGCAACCAACAGAGCAAACTTTTCAGAAGACGGTGAAACAACAGAAACTTGGTAACGTGTATAAACTAGCATCCGCGTGAAGACACGGTTCTTCACTGAGACTACATTTCTTTTACATCTGGGCTGTTAGGGCTTCAGTGCCCTCAGAGATGATCAGACCAATTGACTAACTTTACAGGCGAGGAAACTAGAATGGTAAAGCTCTCCGAAGTCAAGGGAGCTTCTGTTCCAACCAATGGCAGCCTCTTAGTATTGGACAGTAGAACGAGCATGTTCAGTGGGGTCCAACCACCCCACCTCGTCGTCAATCTGGTTTACAATGCAAGTTTGTCAGACTCAGGAATAAGAGCTCAGGGTCTGGGTCAGGAACCTGCATTTTAACAAGCCTCTGCTGCGTGTGCTTACACACGAGAACCTTTGGTCCAGGTGCTGCTTCTGCTTGACAAGGTGCCAAGGAGAAGCATATAGTGCTTTGAGTGTCTTTTACAAACAGCCTGTAATGAAATCTGTTTGTTGTCTCATTAGAGCTTTCAGCTATTTATCAGTCCTTTGAGGTTTTGTATATATTCTTATCACTACAAGGAAAATGCAGTGGAGGTTTTAAAGGTGGAGATACAAATTGTGTGTAACTTTATACTGATGCAGAATCTTCCGGTAGTCTGAGTTACAGATGGTTTCAAAGTAAGAATGGCATTTGCCACTTAGTATTTTTCATAATTAAAGTTGGACTATTTATTGTCAGTTTTATTTACTTGCTGCCAAATATGACATTGTAATGCCTTCACTGGATTTGAACCACGTCTGTTTGGAAAAGAATGCTAAAGAGATGTGATTCACAATATATGTAGGAGGCATTTACCCCAAACTGAATTTATAGCTGTTGTATTTGTGATTTTTTTTTGGAATAATTTTATTGTAGTGATTTATAAGTAACACATGACCCTGGTTTTTACAACTTATTTTTGAGTTGTGTGTTTTGTGGGTTAGTTTTGAGGGAGGGCATGGGAGAAGGGAAACCCCAGCGTCGCTCCTATAAAAAAAAATGATGTGATACTCACACTGTATTTCTTAGATGAACAGGGTCATACTGTATATACTGCTTGGTGACAGTTGTTTTCACAACTGACATTTTAGAATTTTTTTCAGATCTGTGTCTATGGGCTGACCTCTATTTTTAAAGGATACAGACTTTGGGGTGCCTGGGTGGCCCAGTCACTTAAGTGTCTGACTTCAGTTCGGGTCATGATCTCGTGGTTCGTGAATTCCAGCCCCATGTTGAGCTCTGTGCTGACAGCTCAGAGCCTGGAACCTGCTTTGGATTCTGTGTCTCCCTCTCTTTCTGCCCCTCCCCCACTCATTCTCTCTCTCTCTCTCTCTCTCTCTCTCTCCCCCCCCTCTCTCTCTCTCAAATTAAACATTAGAAAAACTTGTGAAGTATACAGACTTCAGTTTGGAGGTATATTGTGATGTCATTTCCCTACTGATGCCTCCTGAAGGCTTCTCTTTTTTGTTGTTGTTATTAAAACAATGCTGCACTGGACACCAGTGTAGACATCTTTGTGAGTATTTCTGTAGGATACGTGTCTGAGTAGAATGACCAGGTCAGGAGTTAGATGACCATTTTAAGTTTTAGCATCTCTCACCAAATTGCCTTCAGTAATTTGTATTTCTGCCAAAATAGTACCTTTGCGCCTGTTCCCCGAAATGCCCTCCCACACTTAGCTATCGGTGTTTTGGAATTTTGCTAACCTGACTAGAAACAAAATCTTATTGTTGTTTTACTTGGTACTGAAGCAGCACAGCTTCGTGGCTAACAGAGTTAACTCCTGAGCTGACAGGCAGGGCTGAATTCTGACCCCATCATATCTTGTTGGATTTTTTTTTTTACTTTAAAAAATTTTTAAATACACTTTTTAAATCTTTATATGTTTTTGAGAGGGAGAGAGAGAGAGCCTGTGAGTGGGGCAGGGGCAGAGAAAGAAGGAGACAGAGGATCCGAAGCAGGCTGCGTGCTGATTAGCAGTAAGCCCGTATGGGGCTCAAACTCATGAACCCACAAGATCATGATCTGAGCTGAAGTCGGACGCTTAATGGACTGAGCCACCCAAGTGCCCCTGTCATATCTTGTTTTGTGAGCTTAGGGAAGATCATTCTCTGTGCCTTACTTCCCTCATTTTGTAAGGTGAGAATAATGGTATTCCCCTTACAGCGTTGTGGGGGTGAAGTGCTTGGCGCATTTATGCACTCCCAAGTAGTATGTAGCATTGTCGCTGTTGTTCTCTGACTGCTAATGAGATTTCATTTCTGATCTGCACCTTTCCACCTCACTGCCTGTTTACACCCCGCCTTCCTGGCTTGCTCCACTCTGAGTCTCCCAGCAGGCTGAGGTTGTTCTCATTTTACAGGTAAGACACCAAAAGATGGTGGCCACTGAGTAAACAAGCAGCAGAAACAGAGGGCCCCCAGGGGCCCTGTGGCCCATAGGCTGATCCCGTGAAAAACTTACTTTGGTATTTGCCATTTCTTTGTTAGTCATTTTTATAATACATGCTGGTGTATCGAACTGAACAAGAACATATAAAATGAAAATTTACTTTCCTACCCATGCCCATTCTCATCTCCCAAAGGAAACACATTTTTGTAATAACTTTCCTACAAAATCTATATGTATATTATACTCTTAAAATAAGAAATATATGTATATGTATACATGCGCATATGTATTAACTAAGAAATCAGTTAATATGGATCTTCCCCATTGTTTTTTTAAAATATTTATTCATTTTCAAGAGTGTGAGAGATTGTGACTGGGGGAGGGGCAGAGAGAAAGAGGGAGACAGAAAATACCAAGCAGGCCCTGCATTGTCAGCACAGAGCCCGATGCTGGGCTTGAACCCACAAATCAGGAGATCATGACCTGAGCTGAAATCAGGGGTTGGATGCCTAACCAACTGAGCCACTCATCTTCCTCATTATTTTTAATGACCAGGTAGCATTCCATGTACGGACAATTGTTAATGTGGTCAGGGCCCTATAGAAGAGGGATGTTGTTTTTGGTTCATGTTTCATCACATGTTTGTGCCTTAAAAAGTATACAAGGGCACCTGGGTGGTTCAGTCGGTTAAGTGTTTTACTCTTGATTCCCGCTCCAGTCACAGTCTCATGGAGATTGAGTTGTGTTGGGCTTGGCACTGACAGGGTGGAACCTGCTTGGGATTCTTTCTTCACTTCTCTCTGCCCGTTTACCTTCCCCCTCAAGATAAATAAATAAACTTTTTAAAAAAGCATAAAAGAAATGACTGGAGCACTAGAATCATAAGAATGTGTGTTTGCTGAAGCAAAAGCTTTTCAAATTACTACATTTCTTTTGCCTTTGAGAGGGGCTTCCAAAGCCCCTGGGCCATACTGGACATAAATGAGGAACTCGGGCCCCAGCTGGGAAGCACCCTGGATGTGTTTGTCTCTGCTCCTGTGTTTACTCTCTTATTGGGGTCCAAATTTTTTCAACTATCTGCAAATTTGACTATTTTGCCCTCCACTGGCTCTATTCAAATTAATAGGACCTTCTTACTTTGTAAGCCTGTGTGGATTCGCGTCCCACTGGGCTGGGCACTAACGTGAATGGCTTTGTTGGGAGTTGTTCCGTGGATATTTCCTTGGTGTCCCTGTAGTTCTCAGCAGCAGTTGCAGACCAACTAATTTCCTGCTTATCAAGACTTCCATAAATCCTGGGGCTATAATCTCATCAGTATGCATAGTTTAGTGATTACAACTTTCTTCCTGGAACTTGAACTCATTGGAGGCCCTTGAAAGGATTGGACTGTGTTCCAGAATCAAAGGTTAAGTTTGTCACTGCTGGCCCCAGTCTCGATTAAAATTATGGGTCTGTGCTGCAGAGTTTAGATGTCTTCCTTTAAAAATTTTTTTTATGTTTTATTTTATGTTAGAGAGAGCACAAGCAGGGGAGGGGCCTAGAGATGAGACAGAATTCGAAGCAGGTTCCAGGCTCCGAGATATCAGCACAGAGCATGAAGCAGGGCTCGAACTCACGAGCAGTGAGATCATGACCTGAACTGAAGTCAGTCGCTTAACTGACTGAGCCACCCAGGTGCCCCTGTATGTCTTCTTTTAGAGGGAAGTTTCTGATTTCCACCTAGTCAGAGGCATGTGTCATCCACCCACCCCCAGTTCTTAGAAACTAGACAAAGATCAAGGCCCACATTAAAAAAAAAATTATTTATTTTGAGAGAGCGCACACATGCAAGTGGGGTAAGAGCAGAGAGTGGGGGCAAGAGAGAATCCCATGCAGGCTTCACACTGTCCACTGCCAGCTCAGAGCCCCGACGTCGGGCTCAAACCACAAGATTATGACCTGAAACAAAATCAAGAGTCAACGCTCAACCAACAGAACCACCCATGTGCCCCAAGTCCCACATTTTTTTTTTTCAAGCCAGGAAACTTGACTGAGATGGTTCTTATCTAAATGGAAGTAATTGGAGTCACTCAGACCACACCTTTCTTTCCTGAAGGAGAGTTTGAGCTGACTTGGGTATGAGCTGCCCTTGCCTCTACCAGTTGGTCATGTTGTGGAGTATTTCCCAGGCTCCATCTTTATTGGTGAGAAATTAGGCCCAACTGGAGTTACGGGCCACCTCCTGCAGAAACCACTGCCCCAGCCTACAGGCTCCATGGTGAACTCCAGGCAAGACCTCCGCACCCAGCAGCAGTGTGAGTGGTTCATCTGATCACGCCACACTCAGTTATTGCAACATTATTGCTTATTAAGTGCAAATAATCAAATCAGGATTCCTACCTTAGCAGTAGTCTTCTCATGTGGTTGGTGTTTCAGTGAAATGCACTCATACTAAAGACAAAACGGGCACCTGGGTAGTTCAGTTGGTTGAGCGTCCAACTCTTGATTTTAGCTTACGTCATGATCCCAGGGTCATGGGATCCCAGAGCCTTGTATCGGCCTCCGTGCTTAGTACAGAGCCTGCTAGAGATCTTCCAACCCTCTCCCTCTGCCCTTCCCCAACTCATGTTCATGTGCTCATGCTCTCTCTCTTTCTCAAAATAAAAAAGAACAACAACAAACCTTTAAAAAAAGACTAAAACCAATCCTTCAGTATTTGGGCCACTGGAAAGCATTTAAAGAATATTAGCCTATTCCAAAGTTAGATGTTGAGAGCAGAAAAAAGTCAAGGAAAACATGAAGGATGAGTAGGCTTGGAAAGGGCCGCCATTGTGTTTGTCCCTCTTAACAAGTGTATATAAAAGCATACAGTGTAGGGGCGCCTGGGTGGCTTAGTCGGTTAAGCGTCCGACTTTCGCTTAGGTCATGATCTCGCGGTTCGTGGGTTCGAGCCCCGCGTTGGGCTCTGTGCTGACTGCCAGCTCAGAGCCTGGAGCCTGCTTCAGTCTGTGACTCCCTCTCTCTCTGACCCTCCGCTGCTCATGCTGTCTCTCTCTCTCCTAGAAATAAATAAAAATATTAAAAAAAAAAAAAAGCATACAGTGTAAAGTGAACGTATTCCCTCCCTACACACTGTGTCAGAACCAAGGTACTCCTTTTGTGTACCCTTTAAGATATTTTCTATGCATGTATGAGCCTGCGTACCAATATGCTTTTTTAAGTAAAAGAGGAATTATCCTGTGTATTAGTTATATTTATACATTAATGTACCTGAAAACTTAATGACTTGACACAATAATAAAGATTTACTAACATTCACAGTTTCTGTGTGTCATGAATTCAGGAATAGTTAAGCCAGAAGTTCTGGTTTAAGATCTCATGAGAGTGTAGTCATCTGAAGGCTTGACTGGGGTTAGACCATCCACATCCAGTGTGGTTCCCTCACAGAGCTTACAAGTTGGTGCTGGCTGTTGTCAGGAAGCCTCTGTTCCTCTTCATGTGTGCCTTTCCACAGTTCTGCTCGAGTGACCTCCTAACACAAAGGTG